TTCCCCTGCTGGTTTCAAAAATCTTTTTTCAAAAATCACGGGTGGCATTTTTTTCTCTCCCCTTATTCTATCACAAAACTACATAAACAACAGGAAGGAGACCTATTAAGAAATTACAGAAGATTTGGGCATGGCCCAAATCCACATGATCCTTTTTGTGTGTAAGCTTTCCATATAAGTTGTGGATCATGGATTAGCTCAGTTGGTTAGAACTGTGCTATTAGAACATAGTGCTAATAATGCCAAGATTAAGGGTTCAGTCCCTGTATCAGACCACTCACTTAGGAGCTGGACTCGATGATCCTTGTAAGTCCCTTTCAACTCGGAATATGAAATTAGTGTGCTAGGAATTGCAGTAAAAACAACCCAAAAAATAGAGATTAATTTTTTTTTCTCTATTCTCACAGCTGTAACCTGAGGTGTTCCAATGGGATTAGTGGGGTGTAATTGGTTTGGGTGTTACTTATCGTGGAGTAAAAACCAAAAATCCTGAAGTGTGATATTGAAGTTGACAGTGTCACTTTAAACAAATTCACTTGAGATGATTTTTGCTTTGGGAGTCTCCCTTTACAAACAGACCTTGCCAGGAGCCAGAGTAAACACTATGTTAATCTTAGATCAGCCTTTAATTTTCCTACTTCTTTTCCCTTCCCCTTTCCTTTCTATTTCCTTCTAAGACAGCAATATTATAGACAATTTAAATCAGACAATAGCTGAACAACAAAATCACCAACTGAGGACAATGAGGATAACAATAAACTCAACATAGTAATTATTTTCCCATCACACAAGCAATTACAAAAGCCAAGAAAGAACAACTGAGTGCTCTTAACCTGATATTGATCATTTAATTTTCTCAAGCCGTGTAATATTAAGCAGGCTAATGCTTCTACAGGGAACCCTGGCAACAATTAAGCATAGCTATGAAAAAGTCAGACTCATTGCAGGCTTGAGCAAGGGGATAACTCACTGTTTGTGCCAATGGTAATAATGATGAGCAATGGAAATAGTGAAATGAAAGACAGACTAACACTTGAGCACAAGTTCACCATTTCAGTGGGGGTTGTATCTGGCCAGGTTTGTGGGAACATGGCACATTCTGTTTACCTGGCATTCCAGCAAGGCCAGCCCTTTGGTCAGTGGTTGCCACAGGCTAAGTGGAGGTGCAGCTTCTGTCTAGGAGGTGAGGAGAGAACTTGGCAAGAGGTTAGCTCGTGAGCATTGTGACGCACAAGCTCCTCATTCACGCTGTGTGCTGAGGCACCACCATAGCTCAACACAGGAGGAGCCAAGTCGGAGCTCTTTGCTCTTGGGCTGGTTCTAAACTTGAATCATCTGTTGTTCATTCCACAGAGCATGAGCCTCTCTTTAGACCTAGAAATTTGCTTGCCAAAACAGAGTTGCTTGACTATCCTACCTAGTGTCTAACTGCTCCTCCTAGATACTATTAACAGTTCCAAATTGTGTTTGCCAGCCTGTATGAATAGTTGAAATATGAGAGAACACCTCAAAAGAAAATTGATACTTGTGTTGATGCAACTGGTTTGCACCCCAGCATTTGGTCCCATGTGCAGCTTTCAGATGCTGCTGGCTGCACTGTCTGGGTTTCAGCTGGCTGCACTGGGAGCTCAGGCTGTACGTGGGAGCTGTAGGCACCACGTGTGTGCTGTGTCTTCTGGAACACTGGATCTGTCCTGCAGTGGTGTGGTTGGCCTCTGGCTGCCTCTCCAGGCGGGCATGTGCCTCCTGCAGATGCCAGGCCAGCCTGAGCACCTCAGCTGTCCCACAGCATCTCACGTGGCTCATGGTGCTGCCTGTGAGCAGCTTAACTGACCTCATGGAGTTTCTATCAACTGCTTCCAGAGAGACCTTCCAGGGCTGCCCTCGAGATCTAAACCATGAGCATAGGACAAGCCTGCTTATGAGAGCAAACTCAGACTTGTGCTTAATTTCGAGTGCAAATAAAACCCACAAGGAGTCACCATGGGAGGAGAAAGAATGGTGAGCAGACACTGTGGGGTGAGGTTTTCTTCTCCATGCTTTCATGGTGGGTGCAGTAGTAGTTCCTCAGAAGCATTCTTTCTGTAAGGATCCTGTCAGATACAGAGGAAACCCCGAATTGTAACCATATGTGGGGGCCCTGCACAAAGCAATCCCATTCCAACTCCATTAATTTTAGTTTCTGTTATTTCATGTTGTACCACTTAAATGTCTCCAGGCAAATTATCATCAAAGTCCTGCACAAATTAGTAAAACATTGAATTTTTCCTTTCCTGATTTATGTCAAGGAAGAGAGCCTTGATTTAGCAGGTTAAGAAACTCCACCTCAAGCCTTCCCCTACTACTGCAGGACTTTAAAGCGAGTTCAAAATGTTTGAATGGGTGTGCTTTTGTTTCCATTTCCTGAAGGAAGCTGGAGAAATTCATGTCTGCAGTATTTCTGACCATCACCAATCCTTCTACCCAGTGAAGGAAAAGAGGGAGAGAAAGGACATGTCAGAGAAGTACCAGATAATCAGAAATTCCCTCTAGTAAAGGATCATTAGTGAAATATACATGGATTCTAATGGTTCCATGGTATTGTAAGAAGCAAGCACAGAATATTCTGGCCTTTTTTTTTATTGCTCCTTTTATTTTTGTTTTATTTTCCTTTTATTTTTCCTAGTTTCCATATAGATCCCATCTTACAGAGCTCCATGATTTTAATGATAACCAAAAATCAAAGAAGCCAGAAGAATTAGTGTTGCCAGTGACATAAAACATTGGCAGACATAGAAAATAGTGCTCTCTTGGATTTCCTGCAAATGCATAATCTGCCTGTGGCAAAAAAGGGGAAAAAAAATGGGGGGGAGGGCACAAATTGAATTTTTTTTCCTTTAAATTAGAATTTGACTTATTTTTAAAATGAGCCTCTTTAAGGTTGTAATAAACACCTATTAAAGCCTGGATTTGCAACATTTAATCATACAATTTGAGTTTTATTGAAAGCAATTTATTTTGTACTAAGCACTCTAAGTTCACTTACCAATTTTGAGGAAAGGTAGAAAACTCTGAATTTGTGAAAGTCATGGACTAAGCAGAATTTATGTGTCTGCTCAACTAGTTTTTAAAACAAAGCTGTTTGTTTATTCAGGTCAAGTGTCCTCCATAATATATATGGCATTGCAATGAAGACATTTTGTTTAATAATAATGATAGTAACAGTAAAAGCTGCTAGCCAGAGTGTGTCTTCTAGAAGAAGACACACCCCAAAACATATGGCACCAGCCACTTGGGCAGCTGTGCAGGGAAACAGGCTTTATGAGTTTATGAGCTTAAGCTCACTTGTGTGCAAACAGGACCATCCACCTCCTGAACCTTCCCTGACCTCCCAATCCTCAAGCAGCCTTCACATGACACTGCACCTGAACCCATCAGCCGTGCTGCATGAGCCAGCTCAGCTCTGCACCCATGGCACAGCTCAGCTGCATCCACATAAACTCACCACGGGCATCGGGCAGGTGGATAAGCTCAGTCTGCCATCTTATTCACTCTAGGCTGAGGATATCTGAGAGCTGGAGAACCAGGAGGACCTTTTTTCCCACTTCTAGACTGGGGCCAAAGGATCAGATGAATTCATCTAAAATCTTGAAAACCTGAGCAATCAGATCAATTCAACTGCATCATTTTCACAAATGCATCTTTGTAAAATAAGTGTATTTCATTTTCCATTTAATTCCACTTTCCGTGGGAGTAGAATCCAACATAAACACAATAATAACAACAACAAAAAAAGAGTAGATCACTTACCATTTCCTGCTTTGAAAAAAAAAACCTATTAAAGCTATGTTTCCAAACAAATCTATATCTTTTGTATTGGAGGCCTCCCATGCTGTGCATCCTCTAGGACCTCTTCTGCTCCTGGCTTACATTAACAAAAAACACCCAGAATGTAATTATATTAGCAGCCATACCTTATTTAAGAGATGCAATTTAGTATTTACCAAGCAATAAGAATTTATTACCCATCCTTCTTAGCCTGCTTCTTGCAGAAAACTATTTCCATCCAATGTGGCATTTCGGGAAGGAAGACTCTATACAGGCTTCTTATTGACCAGCAAGTCAATACTCTCTACCTCCCAATTCAACCCCTTCTACACAACAGAGTCAGAGGAAAGTAATGGAAATCTCAATTGTCATTCTTGCTTTCTGTTTTTTCCAGGAGAAAAAAAAGCCAAAGCATGAGGTCATCCATGCTTTCCTCCAGAAAAGACATTTAACCTCCACCTAAAGCTTATCATTATTTAATTGTTGCTTTATGCAAGCAAATTCTCTCAATATAACCCAGTATCTGATCTTGCTCTACCTTGAACATGATAAAAGCCCGTGAGAAGGGCTGGTCCTATCTCCATCTCAATCCTGCAAGATCCTGGACATCTTCCAGTTCAGCATCTAACTGGCATGTGAAACAGAAACAGTGCCTAGTGACAGTGATGAATGGTCTGCTCTTGGCTGTTGCTTGCATTCACACTGCTGGATATCCCTACAGTATTTGATTGCATAAACCCTGAAATCCTTTTGTCCACATTAAGGATGTTTGGTCAGCACTATGAGATCTAAATAATCTCTACAGAGGAAACTGGCAAACTAGTATCCAGTGTAAGCAGAGAGTGTGCAGAGAAAGGCCACCTGTTGAACAAAACTCACTGCTCTCTCACAACTATGGCAACATGGAATTATTTGACATAAACTAATTATTAAAAACCAAATAAAACTGTCCCTTTTTCTACCCCCTCCCACCATGCCATGGGGCAAGGAGGGCTCTTGAACCAGAGAGCTCCCTCAAACTCTGCACTGTATTTGCAAACCCATCTGAGGTCTATCACCATGTGAGTCCACACCCTGACAATTGTCTGAAGGCTGGGGAGATAGTTTTTAGGAAAGGGGAACAAAGAAGTAAACAGAAAGCAACCCCTCCCCTTTCTGCATGTAATACTTTTTTGTCTGCTTTTCATCAACAGGTTTTGGAGCCTCGAAAAGCAGCAGGAAAGAGATGGGTCCTTTCTGCATGTCAGGCCTGCCTCTGCAGCACAGGCTGTGGGTCTGCCCTCACAGTCCCCTGGCAGAGGAGGCTATGTCTGAGTAAAGTCTGATGCAAGAACATCATCTTCCCTTGAAAGGTCTGAAAAAAGCATCCTGACCCCTGCATGTGCCCTTGAAAACCAGGGTAGGGGCAGGAAGAAATGGTGAAATCAGAGCAGGAGAAGGAATCTGAGTTGAATTGGAGTTGATGGGTTTTTTTCATACCCAGCACATTTTGTTAGTTTGTCGGTAGCTTGAGGCAGCCACTGTATAAAAAACTAGTCAAAGTTTAGGGAAGACACAGAGAAAGAGGTGCATGTGTGTGCATGCTTTTACCAATGCCATTGCTGACAAACCAAGGCTTGATAAAGTACACTTCTTGCTTGGGGGGGATCTAACTGTACACCTTTTGCCACTGCAGAAAGAAAATGCAAAATATATTTACAAAGCCACAATAAAAACATGTTAATGTGTCAGGGGGCCTTTTTTGGCACTCAAACCCTGAGAATCTGCCTGCAAACCCCTTCAGTAACTTCTGCATTGAAGGTTCCCATATGAGTTACCTCAGTTAACACTGGAAGGGGTTAAGGATGAAAAAACCCCAGCTGCAACCCCAGCTTAAACCTGCCTGTGTAAATTGGTCCTGGATTCCTGTGCAGGTGTGTCAGGTATTTTTTTGTGCTTCTGGGCTTGGACCAGCCAAACACCTCTGTTCTAGAAGTCATGTGCCCGCCTTTCTCACCCACTCCTCCACCACACCGATTTCTTTCATGATCATTTCTCCAGCCCATCTCTTCAGGGTGTTCTCAGCAGGGAGAGGAGAGTGAACATCTAATCTCTGGTTGTAGGGTCAGGTTTGTGGGAAGGCCTTTTTTTCCAGGATAAAATCAGGAAGCCTGTGTGAAGGAAAACAGTTTGCTGTGATTAGAAAGCAGGCAACAAAACAAAAAGGCAGAGGCTTTCTGGGCAAAGTTTCTCCAGGGATTGCTGCAAGCCACAGTCCCACTATGAAGATGCTTTTCATTTACAATAACAGAATCATTCAGGTTGCCAAATCCACCACTAAACATGTCACCAAGTGCCGTATCTACAGTTTCTCCAGGTTCCAGTGTGTCTGCTTCTGCTCTTGATAGAGTAAACAATAATCAGGCTGTATTTTACTTCACCTACAACATATTTCTAGGGCCTTACTGGCCATTAACGAGTGGCAGAAGTGCAAGGAGCATGAACACCTCTCAACACACATACAGGAAAGGTTCATCCAGCATCCCTGTCCTGGAGCTGCCTGCTGGCAGGAAATAGTCATCAGCACCAGAAACTTTAAATTTTCCTTCCCAGAGTAAAACCAGAAACATTGCTCCAGTGACACACTGCTCTCTTCTGCTTGTGCAGGCAACTTAAGGCTGGGGCTGGTAACTGCAGCCTGTGTGACAAAGTGTCTTGATGGGTGATGCAGCTGGCAGGACTTGGATAGGATCCTTCCCCTCAAAAGCTGCAAAAACAAGACTGGTTTACTCTGGATATTTGTCTCTGTTTTAGCATTTGATGAAACACATGGCATTATAGTCAGGAGAGTCTGCCTCTCCCCCCGAGACGCTGCCCAAGTAGTAGACAATAACAAGTAGCATTGATTTATTGCTGCAGAGGAGGTAGAGAAAAAGGAATGTAATAAATGCTGAGGAGATGAGAAATGCACCCATTCCCTCACCCCCTACACACTCACAGGCACTCTGGAGAGGGAGAGGAGGTTATCTGCCATGAACCAGCACATTGCTGAAATTCTAATGAAACAAGAGTCAAAGCAGGTAGGAGGTGGTAGAAATGCTGAGCTTGATGCCCATTTATCATCTTTAAATGCTGAACCCAAGTTGGAGAGGAATGTCAAGAGAAGGGCACCCTATTATTTGCAAAAATATTTTGTAAGAAAAATAGAGCTAGCTATTTCCTATGCATAATTAGAATAAATAAGCTTTATTCCAAAACAAATCAAACCCCCTCTTTGAAGGAATACTAATAAGCTTGGCAGAACAGTCACACAAACGTTAGAAAACACTAATTTAAAATTACCTTTGATAGCTTAATGCATCTCCCATACATACAAGAATTATGCAGACATGGTTTGGATTGTCTGATCAGGCAGTATTTTCCCACACAGCTCCTTCCTTCAGTACACAAATTAGACCCACTTTGTGGCTATGGCAGCACCTCTTCTTCATGTTATTCCAAAAGCTAGAAGGGAATAAGGATCAGGAGTGTGGGACACAAATAAAAAGTACAAAATTACATCCTTGGATATAACCCTTTGTTCCAGAGGGTTGGAAAATACTGTTCATCCAGCCTTCTCACAGATGGGTTCTAATAGTGTGCTTTTACTTTCCAGGTGCCTACCTTCCAAGCCCAGTGGTTTGGTGTGCAGAAATGCTGAGCTCCCAGTCTCAGCTGAGACAGGCAGAGAGATGCTTCAGTGATTCACACCCTCATGTCCTACAGTAAGTGCTCTGAGAAATCAAGTCCCGGTGGGTTCAGGCTTGGCAGCTGCAGTGCTGACTTAGATGCCCATTTGCCAAATGACAGTATCATGATATCTCATCACAGAAAAGTTCTGCTAAAATGAACCAGCTAATGGCTGGGGAGCTCTTGTTCTGCAGTGGCAAGCACTATAGAAAATCCCATGAAGGAAATATTTCAAGATTCAAAGAGCATGGTATAAATCAGGAATATACTGGAAAATAACAGATTGAAATAGGTGCTTGCCAGCTGAGACATGTTTTTCTAGTGCACAGTATGAGGCTGAAGGACTCTGAATACATGAAGAAACCCCAAGTACGTGTGTGCAATTAAAGACAAAATTAAAGGGAGTTAAGTACTGTTGCATGACATCCACATGACTTACCAGCAGGGTAAACACCATGATGTTGAGATTTGCCAAGGCAGCTAAAAGACCACACCTGTGGGGTGAGAGCTGGCTCTTACAGTATGTCGGAGATAAAACATGCTGTCATCAGTGGTTTCACACATAAACACTGACAGCGGTGGACTGGTGAAATTTAGGAACCAGCCCAGTCCAGGTTATAGACTAGTGTTTTCTCTTGGGTGCAAAACTTTAAATGGTTACCCTTGTACCTTCCGCCTCACACCCTAGCAGTTGGCCGACTGCAAACCTCCCCCAGTCTCAACAATTCAGTCCAGTTCTGTAAAGTCTGATGTTTGTTTGGCCCATTCTCCCACTTTTAATCATGGTATACTGCCTGTGTCAGTCCACCTCACCCAGGCCCTCCATCGTGCTTCCCACAGTAACCATCAATTTGGGTTGTGCCCATAGAGTCCAATTCTGTCTGCTCTGTTTTCCTTTCTCTCATATAATTACCTTTTCATTTACAGAGCACTGGAGAGTTTCAAAGGGTAACTCATGTCATTTTTTTACGAACCAATCTTTTCCCTCAATCTGTGTCTTGGCCATGAGGAACAACTACACAAAGCTTTCTTCTCTACTCTATCTGAAGTAATTCAGCCTCAAGCAAACACCTGGACTGGAAAACTTTAGTCCCAGTGGTCAGATTTTGGCAACAATGTAAATGACTGGTAAATGAGAAATCATAATAAAATGCAAAACTGTCAGAACCACCTGTAAAAACCTTGAACTCTGGGCAGAGCTCTGCTGCTTTAGTGTCCCCAACATCAGATGTCTGTCCTGGCCATGTGTTGTATATTTTCAGCTCAGAGCTGGGTATGCATCAGCCACCCATTTAGCTCAGTCACCCTTGTTTCCATCAAAAGGAAAGCTGCAGTGTGACCTGGATGGCTGTAGGGCCAGGACCTCCTCAGCTCTGTTCTCTGAGTTGGGTACATATGAACCCCAAGAGATGCTCCTGAGCCTTTGAGAGACCTACTGACAGGTCCCAGTGAAGACAGTGGTGGAGCCATGGACCTCTTATCCCCAGAGGCAGGCAGGAGATGGTCCCTCAACCCCTCGGGACTTGCTACCCTGACAGGTCCCCTAACAGGGGTACTTGGTGGTGACCAACATGCTCGGCAGGGTCTTGCTGTAGGATGTGAAACCAGTGCCCATCCATTTCTGACAATGTGAACACCCAGCAGTGTTGTGCTTTCAGCACACCCTGTTACATGCTAATGTAACATTAAACATTAACTGGAAATAAATTAAAGTCTCCAGCCCTTCCTCCTTACTGTGGATCCACTCTCTGGCCTTGAGCAAAATGCTAAATTTTTCTGGGAACCAATTTCCTCAGTTAATAAAATCTGTGGCTGGATGCAATGAAGATCAATTTATTAATGTTTGCGTAGCATGGGAACATCCTTGAGGGGAAGGCTCAGGGGAGAGCAGTATTGTTACTCTTATCTCCTCCAAGTTAGTATCTAACACATCTGCTCAGGGTGACTCAGTCCCATGTCTAGCCTTTTGCTTACTAGAAAGTATAGCAGAGTTTCTATAGTACAATGAAGCATTGGAAATAAACCGAGACAGGGATTTATAGCTGCACTTTCTTGCCATGTGTTATAATAGCCAGCATTATTTAATCACAGAAACATGATCTGGCCACAGCTAACTAGCTTTGCTCAGGTGTGCTTGTAAATTTAATTTGAGTTCCTCTACCTTGTGCAGAAGCTGAATGCAGGCTAATGTGTGTGCTGGAAAAATAACAAATCGTACTATGGTATAGAACAGGAAAGCCTTCAGTTTCACAATAAAATAATACAATTCAATGCATGCAGTATTTATATAGCACCATTCAGAAATATATTTTAAATCTTTTTAGAAACCACTCGCATGCTATACCACAGCCAACATGTCGAATTCTATTAAAGAGAAGAAAGCCATTGTAAAAACAAGTCTTCGAGTATACATTTAAACAAAGCGTTCATTGGAAGAGGAGCCCACTAACAATTGGAACTATATAGTTATTAATACAGGTCCTGATAAGAAACTGGATCCATGGCATAAAATATTTATCCAATATGTTCTCCATATAAACAGAGTATAATGTTTTTTGTTGTAAAATAAATGCATATTATAATATTCATAATGTGTTTTATTTTAAAAACAGTGTCCTGAATGGCAGAATGGATGGGTCTGTATGCCCTTTTCCACTTGCATTATCCCAGCAAATGAAAAATTTAAAAAAGGAAGGAAAAGAAGATGGAAGAGAGGCAAAATGTGTGACAGACTCAAATCCTCTGCCTCACTCTACTGCCTGTGTGTTCTCCATGGTATCCAGTGCTTAATGCTTGCTGCTTACTCCATTATGTTCTCTCACCCACCTACTGACACATTTCCATTGATCGCCCACGTAGCTTTAAGCATTTCTACCCCCCTGCACTGAAAGCTTTTGCAAGGCAGCTGAGGTACCAACCACTGTAATAGGTCATGTGGTGGGAAGAAGCAGGTTTTGGGCCATGCACATCCCTCTGCATCAGCTCTGGGGTCTGAAAGACCCCTCACAGTCACCTAGCTGGGCAGAGGTCCCTGCTCCTGGGACAGAGGGGTGACTGCTGTTATGGGGCTTTGGCTGAGAGAGGCACAGGCTGCTTGGCTGCTGCATGATGTGGCTTCTACACTTCTGCCTTGGCAATGCACCTGTGGTAGGAAGCATGGCAGAAAAGCCAGAAAGAAACCACTATACTGGGAATGTGCTGTTCAGTAGTACAAACAGCCGTGAGGAGAAGAGAGGACAAAGAACAGCCCTTGAAGTCTCATCCTGACTTGGTTGTAGGCAGCCTTGCTGCTGCCTTCAGAAATATTTTTACAGTCCAAAATGACTAGAGAGTATTGTGTTGGATTTATCATAATAACATAACAGCATGTGCCAAAACAGTATGTCTAGCCCTGGAAACAGAAACAATCTAGCTTTTAATCAACAAAGAAGTTGGAGAATAGTATACAAATGTTAAGTACTACTGACTTCTTTTCAGATGCATCTTATGAATAAAACTGAATGCTGATTCACTTGGGTTCCTGGAAAACCTTATCTCTAAATTGTAATGTCAAATTAATATAGTAAAGAATTTATAAGTTGTGTTTCTCAGAGGTTGTTTAACAGCTTGATCCCTTGCCAGCAGTGCTTTGTCATTCACTACTTCCCACTGGCATTATCTTAAAACTAATACCAACAGCCAGTTGTTCCGGAGAGCTTAACTGAAATGTGCAATACTGGGAGACACAGCCAACACACCAGCTCCCACTTCATGTGCATTTATAATTACACAAGAAGTGGTGCTTATTGTACAGTCAGCTCTGGTGCTCTCTGAGATGACTCACCTTCTCTCACTCTGCTATGCCATGCTAACTTTTACACATTTCGTCTATCTACATGGATATCCAGACTCATCCTCTCCAACTCTGAGCTTTTTGGCTGGGATCCTTAAATTACAGCCTGTCTTTGCTTTAGGCTCTTCCTACAGTCAGAGAAGGGAGACATGAACCTCACGAAGGCGGTTCTGCTCCTTGGTGGGCTGAATCATTGCCGGAAGGCTGCACCCCCTCCCTGTTGCTCCATTGACTGGGGAAGGAGCCCCAGGCAGGGCTGGCAAGCCTACTGTGTTCCTGCCCCAACCAGCCCTCCCTGCTGCTGCTGGGGGGCTGAGAGGAGACCTTGGAAGGTGTGAAAGCCTTACTGACGCCTGTCGGTGGTGACTCGACTGCTGGCTTGGGCAATTCAGTTAAATAAATAAATGTACACAGCCAAGCCCAAGATGACTTAGGTGGCAGCCCCACTCTGAATTGGAGAGGTGCCCCACCAAGCCCCGGAAGCTGCAGTCAGGCTTTCCCAGCTTGCAGTGGCTGAACTTGCACAGTCAGTGCAAATCACACAGCCCCTGACCTCATGCAGGGCTGTCCCCAGGCTGTTTCCAGACACAGCCCTCATTTCATCTCTCCTTCAATCCCAGCACTTTGCCTTTGCTTGTTTCCCAAGTGCTTACCATGTTCCTGCTGCCTGTTTCCTCAGCTGCTGCCTCACACATGCTTCCTCCACTGTTCTCTGGGTACACCCTCTCCCTCGAGCATTTCTGTCCTGTGTTGCTGCTGCTCTTTCCCACCAAGCACGATTTCACCCCTGAGTTTCAGACAGCACTCCAGACATTCACCAGACTCCAATTCTTTGGGGTCGTGTCCTGCAGAAAGCATCCACTGCCTCCAGGGACCTCAAGTCCCTTCCTCAGTCATGGGGAAGACGAGAATTAATCATAGAGCTGCAGCACTGGCTTTTGGCTCCAGCCACAAACCAGTCTATGGTCGGAGAAAGAGACTGGAGCAGCCCAAGGGTGTTACAGATGTCTTCATGGAGTAATGGCTCTCCAGTACCTCGATGCATGGAGTTACCTTCTCTAAGCCTGCTAAATTTCTGATCTGCACTGTTCCACCATCCTGTGCCTTTTGGATGTGAGGTAGAAATAATTTTCCTTAACTTTAAATGTTTCTAAAATGAAATAATTTTTAGGCTGGAAGTATCTGCTTATTAGTGTAAAGCAACAGACAGGGACTATAGGGTTTCTTGTGTAGGTGTGCAGGCTTCATGGCATGCAATCCTAAAATGGCAGCCGGTTTATGGAGTGACAGGGCAAGTGTGCTGGTCCACAGGGTGTAGAATACTGCAGGCATGTGACAGCCCAGTCCCCTGGACCTGGGATGCAACAGGTCCTTTCCACAGCAACAACAAACCAAACTAAGAATTTTCCATCCCAATCTTTATTTCTCATGTCTGCCATCAAGCCTAGAATAACTCAAATACTCTAATAATCAATCTCCTGTCCACATTAGAATAAGTTTATGGGCCCAGCATTATTTACCCCTTCTGGTATGGGCAAAAAATGAAGGGCAGGATTTTTGCCTCTAGCCCAAATAGACTGGAGTCAGACTTTTCATCCTTGCTGAAGAGTCGATTACTGTAACTATACACCACGAGGGGGTTATTGAAGTTACAGAGAATGAACTCAAGGCTCAACGTCTGAGGAGCATTGCTCATAGAACTACAAAGAGCTCTGCATGGCCTATTAATAGATTTGGTCATGGCCCAGTGCAGCTGTACACCCACTGAGCAGGACAGTATGTTCTAATGGTGTTTAGTTGGCTGATTACAACAACAACTCTTATTTTTTTACCCCCACGTTACTACTTCATTTCCCTCCTGCTGTTTCATGCTGCTGATTGATCCAGAGCTGTGGGTAGAGGAAAGAAATGTAGTTATATTACAGCACAATTAGTCTATATTGCCAAGTTAAAGGTGTGTAATTGAGCAGGGCTGCAAATGGAGGGCAGCTGCTTCATCTCTGTTGTTTTGCTCCCATGAGGAGCAAAGCAGTGTATGTGGGTGGGTTGTAGAGTGGGAAGGAGCAGGTTAAAGCACTGTTTGTGTGACATACCAATGACAGCCAGTCAATTCTTGCACCTGTGTGCCAGCCTCAGGCTGTCAGGAGCACCAGAGCCTGAAAAAAACCCCAAAATGTAACAATTTCTGCTCTAGTAGGGTATGCGTGTGTGCACAACAACACCTCAGCAGAGAAAAAGTTCCTCTCTGATCATGGATGAAACTGGTTGCTAGTTCCAGTATGGTTACAAGGGTGGTTACTAGTCCAAAATACAGCACATGGAAGATCCTCATTATCCTGATTTGTCAGAAATTTATATGTTGTCCTCCCTTGCCTCCAAACCAGCTTTCCAGGCTTGTAAGGTCTCTCTATGCCTGCAAAGGCCAGCCTTGCCCAGCCCATGCAGAGTTGAGAACCCCAGTGTCACCATGGCAGGGCTGTGGAGCTCAGGCTGAGGCGGCTTGGTTGTTGATGATAAAAACAGAAAGTAAATCCAGTCTTGTGAGCAGTGTGGGGCACACAATTCACTGACAAGGTAGGCCAATGTTTTGTGCTTTTTTGGGTCTACTCCTTGCACGAGCAGAGCCAAGAAATCAGAATCACAGAATAGCGTGATTTGGAAGGGGCCCAAGAGGATCATTGAGTACAACTCTTAAGGGAGTAGTCCATACAGGGTTCTAATATCCTGAGCTGGGAATATCTCCCAGTTCAGAGGAGCACCCAGGGTCACAGAGAGTGATGCTCTGTGAGCTGTGTCTGGCTCATGTTTGGTGACACAGGCCCTGTAACTTTTCTTGGTGCGTCAGAGCCCTTCTGCAAGAACCTCTGACTCAGCTGTGAATCCTACTGTCAAAATCCCTGTACAGGATGTTACCCTTAGGAAAAGAAGGTTTAGTTGGTCCCAAAATGGATACATTTGAATCCACACACCTGTAGTCTTCTGACAGCAGCACTCATGGTGCAAAAAGCTGCAGAGCTGCAAGATCCAGCAGTTACCTTCTTAACCACTTCTTACCTATGTTGAATAGCATCACAGCTATTTTGAAGGTGACATTTTGAAGAACAGCTCCAAGCTGCGTTTTCAGAGCTGAAGGAGTAGCTAGAACAAGAGAGTCACGGAAGCCAGAGCAGCAGCAGCAATGGATGGTGCGGCTGTGGTCCTGCAGTAGCAGAAGCACCAAGCCTCACAGCGAGCATCTGGCTCTGGCACACCACCATTAACAAAGAGACAAGGCACAGAGTAGAGCTCCGTGGCAAATTCCTGGCAGGGGAGCCAGGATGTGGCAACTCCATGAGCTAGCCCTGCTGTGATAACTCCACAGATGCGTGCCCCTCCCCTAAGATAAACGTAAGTTTGTCAGTGCACATGGGATAAGCTGCCTCAAATTTTCCATGGAGTAATATTTCGGAGACCAGGCAGTCATGCTGGGAGCTGTTGCCGTTCTAGAAGGTCACACCTAAGTTTGCCACAAGGTCACTTTTTCACATTGCCAAGCCTACACAGGGAAGAGTAGCCAACCCAAATCGACAGAAGAATGCAAACAGAGCGTCTCAGCCGGCGTCCTCGTAGTCACCCCAGCATAACCCCATGGCTGAAGAGTGGATGAGAAAGGAAAAGAGAAAGGCAGAAGGAGAGAAAGTTCTGTGAAGCAGAAAGGGGAAGGCATTTGGCCTTTTCCCAGTTGTTACATGGGGCTTTCTTTTTAAGATACTTATTTTTAAAATACAGTTCTGCAGCATGAGATAAATGTCCTGTTGTTCCTGTGGGATATTTAAAAGTGACGCATTAAATATTTCAATAGCAATGTATTGTTCCAGAGATGGAAGTCTTGACAGTGAAAGAGAGACTTCACTAAAAATAAGGAGCAGGCGACAATGTGTCTGAAAATTCTGTTCTACAGCCCAGTAGGCATCTTGAAATTTAGCTGTATATCTGCTTTTAAAAGTTTGGCTTTATTTAGTGGTATAAGTTGGCGGTGGCCTCTTGATTTCCACTGAAGTAGACTGGTTGATACTGGAAGAAGGAATTAATTTCATTATGTGTGTTAAAAAGGAAAAAAAAAAAAAAAACCCCAACAAAAAAACTCCTATAGACTTTGATGTGGAAAATGTCTTCTCCCTGATGTTAAGAAATATTGTAACACTGCCCCCCCCATAAGTCCTGTACCAAGACCACACTTTGTATTTCAGGTATAGCATGACGTCTGGAAAGATGAAGTTCAGAGACTTCAAGAAGTGATGAATTTGTCATACCCCCTCAGGACTTATATCAATGCTTAATTAATTGCTGTTAAGATGTGCACCTTATTGCTAGCTGAAACATAGTTATCTTCAGCCTCCAGCCATGGGATCTCGTTATGTGTTGCCTGGTAGATTAAAGAGTCTCTACAATAAAAACCTACGCAAAAAATTCACTTGTTACAGAATAAAATTTGGGTGAGGTATATCAAATTGCAGGTTTATAGGTCACAGGAAGGTTTTCGGATAATTTTCTGCTGATTGCTTGTAACAAATGCTGACACCACATTTGGAAAAGAATGATAGTTCTTCTCAGTAATTAGGGAAGCCTGAAGGGCCTGAATATGAGTATGGTTTCGGATGGACTGTAAGCCTTAAATTTGGAGAACAGTTTCCAGCACTATATTTTTCTTGAATGGTTCATCTGGGTTTCTTATCTTCTTTGCCAGGTGAGTCACTTCCAGTGAAAAGTACAATTGTTACAGAGAGCTCGAGAAGAATAAACAAAAGACATGGGATTGCTCTCCTCTCCCTAAAGTGGGCTAAAATCACAGCCTTTTCCTGGTCAGGGTTCGGACACATTTGGAACATATTCACTCCTCACGCTCTGCATTCTTCTTGCAAATAATACATAATTATGGAGACATAGCCCCAAGTGGAAAAGGCTGTTTACACAAGCACACACAGCATACAGAAAATAATACTTTTGACATGCCTGCTTTAGAGATATTTAACAAGTTAATTTATTTTTATTTCACTTGAGGTCTGTCCTAGCATGCTAGTAGCTGGGCTCTAAATTGCTGCCTTACGGGGATTTCCAAGAGCATTGTGATTTTTATTATTTTTTTCTGAATCTCCTCCAGTTTACAGATGTCTCTTTTGTTTTGAGGCACCCCTTTGTCAAACCACCATGTAAGGAAAACCAGTAACGAGGTAGTTGCTGTGCAGCATAACAGTTTTCAATTCCTGATGAAGGGAAAAGAAAAGCCAAGGAATAGGATGTGTGATGCTGAGCACTGTAAGCCTCCAAGAGCCAGAA